TAGTTATATCTATCAAGGCATGTATCTATGTATGTTTATATATATTATTAAATATATTATATTTCTATACATACATAAAAACGCACACGCATACATTCAATTATATATATGCTTACATACACACACTATTTTTTATATTCTTATGTGTTGAATTACATATATATATATATATATATATATTAATTTATAAATTTTACATACATTAAGCTAGTGCGTATATATATATATATATAATTATATTTATATATATATATCTATGCTTCTAAATGAGAATCACAGTTGTATATATGTTGTCGCAGTTTTATATCAAGGTTTACTGAAACAGAGATGCATTTGAAAATGTACACTTATACTTGTATAGTGATTAGTGCATATTTTATGTATATATCAATGTACGTATTGCGCTTTTTCATAATAATATGCATAGCATTGAGATATAGAAACAGATGTATTTGAAAATGTACACTCATACTTGTGTAAAGTGATTAGTGCATATTTTATGTATATATGAATGTACGTAATGTAATTTGTATATTATTATTTATGTATATATGAATTTACGTAATGTAATTTGTATATTATTTATGTATGTATGAATCTACGTAATGTAATTTGCATATTATTTTATGTATATATGAATGTACGTAATGTAATTTGTATATTATTTATGTATGTATGAATCTACGTAATGTAATTTGCATACTATTTTATGTATATATGAATGTACGTAATGTAATTTGTATATTATTTTATGTATATATGAATGTACGTATGTAATGTAATTTCTATAATAATATGCATAGCATCGATATATAGTAAGCCCTGCAACAATTTGAGCTATCCATAAACTTGATATATCTTCTGTCACTCGAATGCGCAAATGAAGTCCCCATCGCTCATTTATGCTCCTTTACATTCCGTTGCAGATGTGTACACATCGGAAAAGACTGGCAACGATGAAGATGGAGACGGAACTGAACGAGTGCCATTTAAGACCCCTCTAAAGGCGTTTATCCTTGCTGCTGGAAACCCTGTCAATGTATTCGTGGACTGCGAGGAGGTTGGTGTGCGGTATGTCAGTTCAGATGTTATGCTTTATTTCTGGTTTATGTTTATCTTTGGGTTTCGTATCAGTGCTGTGGTGTGTGGTCGTGGGACTTGCTGTGACGTCGACTGAGTTGCGCGTACATATAACGAATGCATGCGCAACCGTGCTGTCGGCCCTGGCTCAGGGTAGCCAAGACTTCTAATACACAACGGAACACAAGCTAGTTATTTTTAGTAGAGTTTGCTTGATGAATTAGCAAGACTTGTTGTACCAGTCTCGCACTGATGTAGTTTGTATTTTGTTTGAAACGCAGCCAATGAGCGATATGTAAGGGCGCGCAAACACCTACTATCACATTGCCATACAGTGCCTCATGACACCTTCTATGTTCATATGTTGACAGATATGAGCCCATCTCTAAGTCTCAGTACAAGAAAGGGCTCAAGGCATACCAAACGCACCTGAAACGGATTGAGACGGCAAAGAAGGCTGCGGTAAGTGCTGTTACGGTGGCCTCCTTCTCGTATGCATAAGCGCAAGCGTGTACTCGATTTGAGGTGCTGCAGTGACTTGCCTCTGCTGCGCGCTTTGTGTCCCAATCATATTGCAGCGTACAGCAAAGCACGTCTATAGAGAACAATCAATGGCGAGAATCACATGTACACACACACGCGCGATGTTGACTCGTCTGCCATGTATGTCCTATTCTGTTCATATACGAGAATCACATGTACACACACACACACACGATGTTCAATCGTCTGCCATGTATGTCCTATTCTGTACATATATTAGGCAGCGGAGGAGGCGGCTGTTGCGGCGTCGCTAGCCGATGCGGAAAATTACAGCATTGTATTGGATGAGTCGCTACCTAAGGCGTCCAAGGTATGACTCTATGTTTAAGATGTCCTTACTTACTTATGTCGATAGGAGCATGTTGATCTGAGATAGCTGTCGTTATAGTCATATGTGCGAGTATACGTGTAAACTGGTGTCTATGTGACCAGGACAGTTGGATTATGAAACATGTTCTTGCATATGCTAAGATTGATCATGGTGAGTGGCACATGGTGCGATTCCCCGGAGAATCAGACGCAGTACTCGCTATCAATCTCACATATGCACCGATTCGCATCCACTCGCCTATATATCCGGTGTTTACAAAAAAAAAACTTAAACTTTTGTTCTAACACTGGAACCACTCATGAATCCCTATTTTTTACTTCTCATTTACACCACCTATGCCTCCATTCCTCTTTAATAGTCCATTATCCGCAAGCTGGAATCCCACCGAGGCGAGCGCGTGGTAGTGAGTGGGTGGGTGCACCACATGCGTCGTCAGGGCAAGGGCATGATGTTCATTGTGCTCCGAGATGGCACCGGATTCCTGCAGTGTGTTCTCACGGGAGATCTAGTATGTGTTGTGTTTAAGCCTGACTGTGCAGCTTCGTATATGCTTTGCATCAGGTTAAATGTGCCGTTTTATTTGCCCAAGTGGTTCGCATTGAAGTGTCTGGCATGCGTTGGAATGTATATTAGTATTGGTATAGTCTCCTGTGCATTGCAGCTTGGGTGTACTATGGTACGGCCCATCGAACAGTAATGTCTTAGTACAGGATTGAATAGTAATGCCTTGGTACAGGATTGACTAGTATTGCCTTGGTACAAGGTTGATTAGTAATGCCTTGGTACAGCATTGACTAGTATTGCCTTGCTACAGCATTGACTAGTAATGCCTTGCTACAGCATTGCCTAGTATTGCCTTGTTTCAGGATGTCGTGAAAATGCTGATTCGGCTGTTATGCATAAACTTGGGCGGGTGACTATGAAGTTGTGCCCTCTTACGCACTGTGTCTGCCCTGGAACGCGAGCTGCTCTGTGGTGTCGGTGTTTGTTGTGTTCATTTGTTCTGACATGCTTAGGGTGCAAGCCTAGCACAATAGATAATACACAGGCATAGGCTGCATGTGGGGAGGTACGAAGGCACTCATCCACTGCGCAACGGTTTTTGTCGGACGATGCGACGAAATATCGTCCAGTGTATGCTCGGCAGAGTGCCTGAAGAAGTACCTGTTGCCAGCTTACAAAATTCATATCTGCACTCATCATAACACACACATACAATATACTATACATACTATTCTGTATACCAACGCTTCGTACATCTTCCCTGGGCGCACGACTGCTGCCCGTCATTCGCTGCGCCTGCTACTCTGGCTGCCCTCTCACCCCACCGTACCATCCGTCCCATCGATAGTGTCGCGTCAAGGAGGCCGTTCTTCTCAGCACCGAGACGTCTGTCACTCTCTACGGGACTCTAAACGTTGTGCCTGAGGGCAAGAACGCCCCAGGAGGTCACGAATTGTCGGTCGACTTCTGGGAAGTGCTGGCTGCGGCCCCTGCGGGAGGATACGACTTTGTGATCAACGCTGAATCTAACGTCGACCAGAAACTGGACAACAGGTATGGTACCTCGTGGGGGGAGATACTATGATATGTGTGTGTTTATGGACAGGATTAGGCGTGTGGGTGTGTTTTTATGGACAGGCTTAGGCGTAGGGGTGTGTGTGTTATGGACAGGCTTAGGCGTGTGGGTGTGGGTGTTTATGTACAGGCTTAGGCGTAGGGGGGTGTGTGTTTATGTACAGGCTTAGGCGTATGGGTGTGTGTGTTTAAGTACAGGCTTAAGCGTAGGGGTTTGTGTGTTTATGTACAGGCTTAGGCGAATGAGTGTGTGTTTATGTACAGGCTTAGGCGTATGGGTGTGTTTATGTACAGGCTTCGGCGTATGGGTGTGTTTATGTACAGGCTTCGGCGTATGGGTGTGTTTATGTACAGGCTTCGGCGTATGGGTGTGTGATTCTGGTTGCCCAATTAGGGCTGCTTCTGCTCCCTTGTGACTATCTTGTTGAAGAGTCCCTTTTATGGGGCATTGCTGCATTCATACGTACGTGAGGCTGTTTGTGAGTTGGATGTGTGCTTCATATTGTCGACACGTACTTTACGACGAGAAATACGATGACGATATACTCTCGGCGAGCGATCCATAGCCTTGTATGGACCAGAAGGCTGTATATAGGCATTACCAGATTAATTACATTTCTATTGTGCAAAATTTAGTCGAAAACAGCTTCACAATTTTGCAGTTTGCACTGTCCTCTGTTCCCTACATACCAAAGCACCGTAGTAAAATGAATCAAATTGTATATATATATATATAGTGGGTGGGTGGGTGAGTGGGTGGGTGGGTGGGTGGGTGGGTTGAATCAAGACTGTTCCACACTTCACACAATGCCCTGCTGGCTGCGTGGCTTTTTTAAGCATATACTACACTCGTGGGAGGGGATCCTCTCGCTCTCTTTGTAACGTTCTCACGTTCCGTATCTATCGCTTCGCCACGCATCGGCAGACATCTTCTCATCCGCGGAGAGAAGTCGTCCAAGATTCTGCGAGCTCGTTGTGAGATCACTCGTGCTTTCCGCAGTCACTTTGAACACAACGGATACGTCGAGGTGACCCCCCCCACGCTGGTGCAGAACCAGTGTGAGGGTGGCGCCACTTTGTTTAAGTTCGACTACTACGGGCAGGAGGCGTACTTGACTCAGGTTAGTGGGTGGGTATTTGGGGGGGAAGACTTTCGAGAGGATTGATTCCTGGTCCATCTGAAACTGGCGGGTGCGTGTGGTAGGAACTGGCTATCTCTGACAAGAGTGTTATGTGCTGCGACACAGCACGATGTTACCTGCAGACAGTACGCGACTCAGCCTCTGTGTTCCGTATGACTGCATATAAAGCCTATCAACTCCTACCACGGCGTATGGTGTCGAACTTCCAACTGAACACATACTATTTCAACCATCCCTCTCAATACGCATACAGTCTTCACAGCTGTATCTGGAGACCTGTTTGCCGTCAGTGGGCGATGTGTTCTGCATGACTCAATCCTACCGCGCGGAGAAGAGTCGCACAAGACGGCATTTGGCAGAGTATGTTTGATACAGGAATGAGAATTTTATGTCTTCTCATAGAAGTTTATCTCTAGTGTTACTTGAATGAAAAGTATGTCTTCTCATAAAAGTTTTAACTGTAGTGTTACATGGATGAAAAGTTCATGTGTTCTCATAGAAGCGTATCTATAGTGTTATAAGAATGAAAAGATGCGTTTCTTCTTAGGAGTTTATATAGTGTTAGTTGAATGATGCCTTGGCCTTTGGCGCGGATTTTGTTCTTACGTGGGAATCTGATTAGTCGGTCTTATACAGTACTGATTATGTTTATGTGACTTAGCAACGGTGTGCACTTCTTGCATCACACGTTGAATGGTTTTTTGTCAGAGTAGTAGTACACGATTACAGTTTCATTTATACATACATTTGTATATATATATATATATGTGTGTGTATTGGTATAATGATCCACTCTATCACTACACACTTCCAGGTTCGTCCACGTCGAGGCTGAGCGAGCGTTCATTGACTTCAACGATTTGCTGAACACCATTGAAGACCTTGTGTGTGATACCGTAGACCGTGCACTGGCTGGTCCTGGAGGAGAGCTTATTCGCGACATCAACCCCGAGTTCAAAGCACCTACACGGCCCTTCAAGCGCATGACATACAGCGATGCGATAGAGTACTGCCGTGAGAACAACATAATGACGCCCGAAGGCACTCACTACGAATTCGGAATGGTGTGTGTGTATATACAGGTGCTTATGTTTATGTGTGGTCTTCGTCTGTGTCTGCTCTACGTATGCATATAGGAGTGTGGGTCTGTCTGTACACAGTCCTCCTTGATCTGGGAGGTTGGAGTTGACTACCCGTGCTGGGGATGAGCCTACTAGCGCGCACTATTGCGGCGTTTCCGAGATGTTCTTCCTATGTGAAACCGCTACAGCACGTGCACGTACATGAGCATTTGAAGTATGTTTACATGGTTGTCAGTCAGACGCTCATCTCTTCCTCGCCCTTTCTGTGCGTTACCAGGACATTCCCGAGTTGGCTGAGCGAACCATGACGGACCAAATCGGCGTCCCCATTCTGCTGACCAAGTTCCCCACTGAGATCAAGTCCTTCTACATGATGCGATGCAAAGACGACCCTCGATTGACTGAGGTGAGTGGTCGTGCACCACACGGTGTGCCAAATGGTTGTTCGCATTGTTTTACCTGCATGGACTTAACCATAGAACGGCTGTGTAATATTAATTGCACTGCAAGTATTTGTATTGGTTCGTCATGTATGTACGTCAACATATCTTCCTCGGAGTATCGTTCGTGCTAGTATAGGGTAGTGTTTTTATCTTCCCCGGAAGATAGCTGAGCGCACACGTTGCCAGGTTACGAGAATACACGAATAGTGAGTTGGCTTCTGAAGTCATTGAAGGCAGGTGTTAATAACCGAGCACCTGCCTGCACTGCACCACTCTCGCATGACTACCACTGTACACCACAGCCAATTCTTCCCGCTCGCTTCGTCGTCCCTGTGCTTGATAGTGGCGCCTGCTATGGCCGTGTTATGATATCCCTGCCAGGATCACATACCCTAACTCACCTCTCTCTACTACCTATCCACAGAGTGTTGATCTGCTCATGCCCAACGTCGGTGAAATTGTGGGCGGGTCTATGCGTATCTGGGACTTTGACGAATTGATGGAGGGCTACAAACGCGAAGGCATTGACCCCACCGCGTACTACTGGTACACTGACCAGCGCAAATATGGGTCAGTCCCACACGGAGGTTATGGACTGGGGCTGGAGCGGTTCTTGGCCTGGATGCTGGGACAATTCCATGTGCGAGATGTATGCTTATATCCCCGTTTCGTCGATCGATGCCAGCCTTAGAGAGGATGATACGGCACCTCATGCCTTATTTATTCCGAACGATCGAGTCAACTGAGTTTATATGGTGATTTGATAAAATAGGTTCAGAGTTTAACATATTAATAAAGGGTTGAAGATTACCATGTATGGGTATCTGCATACCCCTATAAGTATCAGTTCAGTGTATGCGTGGTCGATAGGGTCCTCCCTAAGAGCAACCGGTATCTCACACGCAACTGCGATGTAATGAACACACCAAAACACCATAACACTACTCTTCGCCTTTATTCGCGTCCCAGCTCACTATCCGCTCCTGAATAAACCAGAAGATAAATACAAGAGTATGTACTTCGATCAGTGGCACAAACAAAAACGCTTGTGCTCCCTGAAAATACAAAGAACTAATTTTCTGTGCTCTGAACTCACGAGTAAGCAATCGTCAACATTATATCCATTCTGAATGGAAGGCGGAAAATGTACACTCTGGGCGTAGAACACGCAAAACTCGACCCGTTAATCATGTGCTTTTAGAGAAGACGCTGAGTGCTTAAGGCATAAAGTACGAATAGTCGAAAGGGTGTCGCGAAAAGGTGAATGACAACAGATTCATAAACCACGGTTAAATACTATGGTACCTGTCAGGAAACTACGAAAACCGGAACAACAACAGAAATATTAAACGGTTGTGGGTTATGTGTTAGGTTTAAGTTAATTGTTCGACTTTGTAGGTAAGGGGGTCGCCAAATGTAGACCATAACTATGAGCAAAGCCTGTAGGCCATTGGGGACACAAGACATGGAAAACGAGTGCTTGTTGGCGTCAGTGCAGGTGTGAAAACGCGTATGCGTGTTAATGGTAGATAAGTATCCCGTCGAGAAAGTCAGCGTACACGGCGCTACAGTATGGTCTCAGCGAACTTCACAGCGCTGCAGTATGGTCTCAGAGAACTTCACAGCGTTACAGTATAGTCTCAGAGAACTTCACAGCGCTACAGTATGGTCTCAACGAACTTCCCAGCGCTGCAGTATGGTCACAGCGAACTTCACAACGCTACAGTATGGTCACAGAGAACTTCACAGCGCTACAGTATAGTCTCATAGAACTTCACAGCGCTACAGTATAGTCTCAGAGAACTTCACAGCGCTGCAGTAT